ATTTTTTCATACTTCAATGTCTACGTAGTCGACGGCTGGATCGGATGCGCCAAGTACTGGGCTGGCAACGCGTCACGATCCTTCGTTTGCTTCAAGGACCACACAAGAAGTTCAAATTGCAACCTCGAACATGTTCGAGCTCGAGGCTGTCCGTCTTCATTCTGGATTTTTCCACGACAAGCGTATCCCGCCCCCTCCACCCTTATTTTTTTCCACCTCGCTTTCCCCGGTAAGCGCACTTGCTTCTCTATTCCTCGTTGCCCAATCGTGTCCGAAACCTAACGGAGTGGTGCTGTAGATGGTCAAAGCTACAGGCAGTTCTAACTACATGGTGGCTGAAATTGACCGTCTGCTCAGTCTCGTTGAAGAATTTCTTCCGCTTGGAAAAGATGAATGGGAGCGGTTGGCAGGTTTCTACAACGTTACTAGGGTGCGAGGCTGGCAAGAGCGTGAGTACGAAAGCGTGCGTCGTAAATTCAAGGTGTTATATAGCACGAGAAAGCCAACTGGAATCGCCGAGATGCCCCCACACATTAAGCGAGCATAGGCGTTAAAAGACGCAATCGACGAAAAGACAAATGTGGTCGTCACGGACGACGGAGCGGATGAAGAGCAGCAAGATTTTCAACCGGACTTCTCCTTCGAAGTGGATCCCGACGACGACGACGACGACTTGGTTAGTGCTGGAGATGCCCCAAGCGGAACGGGTGACGTCGGAGGTTTTGGTCAGAGCGGTACGGCGGGCATCGAGCAAACCGGCGGGCCTCAAACGCCAATCGATGGTAGCTTTCAGGAGATGCTGGCTTCTGCCCTTGCAGGAGAGATGCCGGACCCCACCACAGATACCCCACGTCCTGTGCCAGCGCAGCGATCTGGTCCAAACACTCGAGCTAGGATGCGCACATCCGTCGCCTCAGCTCCTACCGGTAACGTACAGACCCCAAGGAAACCAGCAACCCGAAGCCGCGCAGTCACCGACGGCTATAAGTACGAGAGATCCTCTAACCGCCTTGGGGGTACAGACTTAACCGCCATACGCGACGAAGCTACGGCCAAGCGCACTCCGGACAGCGAGATGGACGCATTGGAAGCGAGCTATGCTAAGTCCAAGCGACTCCGGGCGGTCAAAGCCACCACTGCTCTCAAGACGAAGCTAGAGATGCTCGAAACATCGTCCTCTGCGGCGAGTGGGAGTATGCTCGAGACGATCTTACTTCTTCGCGAAGAGAATGAGCGCAAGGCCGAACTCCGCCGCCAAGAAGAAGATCAGCGACGCCGAGACGAAGCTGCTGCTCGCGAGGCCCGGTATCAGGCGGAAAAGACGGAGGCGGAAGAGCGCCGTCGCCAGGACAGGCTCGACAATGAGGATCGCGCGCGCCGCAACAAGGAGGAAGCGCGCGCCCGCACGCAGGAGCATGTCTTGTTAATTGGGACTCTCATAAAGAAGCCGTGAGCCTGATGCCTACGAGCCAGATGCTGATGGCTGATGAAAACTCAACCCCATGCCGAGGCAGCATTTACTTCAAAGTGACGTTCTAGTTTCTTTTTAGGATCGAGTATCTTTTCAATGAACTTCTTTACATCATGTAAATTACATGTAACGATCGTCTAGATCATCATGGTAATCAAAAAATGCATTTAACACGCACGGTGGTACTTAAGTATACTTTAACGTGAGAAAGAATTTTATTTCTTGTGAATTAAGAAGACGCATACAATTCTCGTAGCAGCTACACGTCTGTCGATGCCTCCAACACCCCTGAGAAAGTGGTCCGTATTTGCGAAATTCCTACGGTTCATACTCGGTAGTTTACCAACCGAAAAAGGTTATCAAGCCTCATCCCACGCAGTTCAGGGTCGTAAGGAAGCGGCAAGTTGAGGCGGCAGTACACCTTTTGTATACTGCCCATGCCCCACTCAGCAGCTTGACGTACAGACGTGATCGCATCATGGAGAGGGTTCTGGCTGAGCTTC